GGAAAAGATTCTCCAAGATGCTACTGCGCAGTGGTTGCAGTTGCGCCCCACTGCTGTGTGCTGCTGCACCGCTGGGGCTCTGACTCCAACCGTCTCCCCCTGGTGCCCCTGTGGCCACAGCCGGCCCCAGGAGTGCCCAGGAGTGGGGGGCTGGCATGCAGGCTGTGCACCCCGTCTTTCCTGTGCTGCCCCCAATTCCTAGTCCTCCTTAGTTGGTAGGCAGGTGGGTGAGACTGGGATGGGAGTCTGCCGAACAAAGGCAGATGAGCCCTCACCTCAGCCTGGGGTTGGGTTGAGGGACCTCAAGGCAGGCTTGCTGAGGGCGGGGTGGGGCCTCCCAGACCCTGCCGGCTGACCTGGCTGTGCATGGACATCTGCTCTGCAGGTTGCACTTCCCCCAGCTGGCTCTGAGGCGGAGGCTGGGACAGCTGAGCTGTATGTCCAGACCTGCCCTGAAACTGCGCTCCTGGCCCCTGACGGTCCTCTACTACCTCCTGCCCTTTGGTGCCCTCAGACCGCTCAGCCGGGTGGGATGGAGGCCCGTGAGCAGGGTAAGTGTGCACAGGCTGCTGGCCCAGCTCCCCGTCCCCACCCTCCAGGGGTAGGCCTAAGGTTGGGACCCTGCCCACAGAAACAGAGGAGACATTTGTCAGATTAGAGCTGATGGTGTGGGTGCTGAGCCCTCCGGGATGGTCATTTTGACAGGCAAGTTGGTTGGGAAGACCAGGCAGCCTGGTGGCCCTGATGGCCTGCTCTGCACTGCCTGTTCTTGCCTGCACTTGTGCCATTTGGGGGCTCTGCTTCTGGAAGGAACCCACACTGGGAATTCAGAAAATGGTGTCCGATTTCCTGTGTTTGGGCAGAGGAGAGCTTAGAGGTGATTTTGAGAAGAATGCAAATTAATTCCTGGGTGCCAGAGGGTGATTGAGGAGGACTGATGCCTGTTTGGGCCCCTTAGGGTGTGGATGGACTTGGGAGCCCCAGGCAGTGCTGGGTGACTTAGTGACCTGGCCGCTGCACCCTCGAGGGCTGCCGGGCTCCCTAGCCCTGGGCTCTCTGGGCGGGCTGACCCCAGGCAGGGAACCTTGGACTCTCATGGGCGTCAGCTGGGAAGAGTTTGGGGCACCACTCATTCACTACGCTGTAGAGGTGTTTAAAGTTGGAATGAAACTGCCTTTACACCCTAGGGACTTGGTGTCTGGGCTGGGCTGACAAGCAGCAGCTGCCAGTTAGAGGCGGGTTCTGCTGTGGCAGCCGCACCTGAGGCTTGAAAGGCATCCCCTTCCAGGTCGCCTGGCCCTGAGGGTTTGGCTGGGGGTACCAGCAGATAGCGGGGGTGCTGGGGGAGGCCAGGGCCCAGTCCCCTCTGCCTCCAGGAAGCAGCCCCCGGTGCCCTCACAGTAAAGTGCCTCAGAGCCCTAGCAGCCCGCCCCTGGTGACCGTGGTCCAGAGCACCTGCTGTGGGGGGTTTCCTCTGCCTCCTCTTCAGATTTGAACGTGTGCTTTGGGCTGTAGACCTTCCCATGCCCCCGGGGCCTCCTGCCCCTTTCTGCCACAGCCTCTTGGTGCAGGTAGCAGAGCTGTTCACCCCCCACCTTTCCTAAAGAGGGACGACCAGACTGCGCCGGCCAGTCTGTTCTTGGGGACGGGGGCAGTTGCTACTGGTGCATTGAGTGACTGAAACTGCTGGGTTTAAGTCACTGTGTCAGTCTTGGCCAGTACTCAGTTTGTGGGAGTGTTTGGGAAGCTCAGTCTGGTTCCTAATGGGCAACAACCACATCACAAAGCCATGGCAGGGTGCCCACGGGGGGGTTGACGGGTGGCTGACTGGGGGGGGCACGCGGGGCCATCTGCTCATCTGCCTGCCTGTGGCCCACAGGTGGCCCTGTACAAGTCGGTGCCCACGCGCCTGCTGTCGCGGGCCTGGGGCCGCCTCAACCAGGTGGAGCTGCCGCACTGGCTGCGCCGGCCTGTCTATAGCCTGTACATCTGGACCTTCGGGGTGAACATGAAGGAGGCCGCCGTGGAGGACCTGCACCACTACCGCAACCTTAGCGAGTTCTTCCGGCGCAAGCTGAAGCCGCAGGCCCGGCCTGTCTGTGGCTTGCACAGCGTGGTGAGGCCTGGCCCTGCCCTCCATCCCTCCCCCGGAAATGGGACTCTTGTCCTTGCCTTTGGCAACCAGTCCCAGCAGTCCCCGCAGGTGGCCCATGAGTACTCCTCCCAGGCTGGGGCCCCCAGGGAGGTGGAGACCCTGCCCCCAGTCCCCCTGCTTCCCTGGTAGCAAGCCTCTCTTGGCCCTTCCAGATCAGCCCCTCAGATGGGAAGATCCTGAACTTCGGGCAGGTGAAGAACTGCGAGGTGGAGCAGGTCAAGGGGGTCACCTACTCGCTGGAGTCGTTCCTGGGTCCACGTACTTCCACAGATGATCTGTCCTTTCCACCAGGTGGGTTGTTGCCTGGTGGCAGCCTTGAGACCCTGTGGCAGTGTGGCTGAGCTGGTCATCGGGGAGGGAAGGGCTAGGAATCGCTTCGTGGAGCTTTGGGGCCTCCCTGAAGCCCCTGTCCAGACTGCACAGGCTCAGGTGCTTGTCTGACAGCTGGCCCTCATGTCTGCCTCCTGCAGCAACCCCCTGCGGCTCCTTCAGGAACCAGCTGGTCACTAGAGAAGGGAATGAGCTTTACCACTGTGTCATCTACCTGGCCCCCGGGGACTACCACTGCTTCCACTCCCCCACTGACTGGACCGTTTCCCACCGGCGCCATTTCCCAGGTTGGCCAGAGCCTTACAATTTTTTTGGTGTCCTAAGCTTTTTGGTGTCAAGGGACCAAGGCTCCACACTTGGAGTGCTGAGGCTATGAGGTGACTGCTTTAGTCTGGCTGCATGGGGGCAGTCTGGGGTCTAGCCCACTCTGCATTTGGAAGGATATAGGTGGACAGGGGGCTTTGGGAGGCTGGTCTTCTTGCTGGGTGGGGAATGGCAGTGTCTCTGCTCCCACAGGCTCCCTGATGTCTGTGAACCCTGGTATGGCACGCTGGATCAAAGAGCTCTTCTGCCACAACGAGCGGGTGGTCCTCACTGGGGACTGGAAACACGGCTTCTTCTCGCTGACAGCTGTGGGGGCTACCAACGTGGGCTCCATACGCATCTACTTTGACAGGGTAAGCAGAGTCAGGCCCAAGGGCTGGGCCACTTGGTGTCTCCCCCACCCCTTCTCCCATGGAGCCAGATCTGTTAAAACTAAGTTCTAGAAGAGCGTGTCCCTGGCCAGGCCTGGCTCTGTGGAGCAGTTGCCCCAAGGAGGGGCTTGGCCCTGCTCTGCCAGCCCCCACCCCTATATGCTATCATTGCTTATCTGGAAATGGCTGGAGAGGGAGGGGGTTCACCTCCCAGCCTGTACTTTGCTTCTGCTGGGAACCCAAGGGGAATATGGAGCTCAGAGTGGAGCATGCTGACCAGAAAGCCGTGTCTGAGGGGGTGGCTAGTGGCCATCCCTCCCTGAGAAGCAGGGGGCAGGGCTGCCTTTCTTGGTATCAGCTTATGGCTGCCCCTTGCCTGTTCTGGGTGCTAGAGAAGGGTGGGATCTGAATCCTCTGTGTCCCCCCGGGTCCCAGTTCACAGCTTCTACTGGTGACTCTCTGGTTAGGCTTATGGGCCAAGTCGCTGCGCCCAGCTCCCTTTCCAGGCTGGGTTAGGGACAGGCAGCACAGAGGTGTTCGGGGTCCGGGAGCAGACTCCACATGCTCTACCCCGGGCCTCCTGCAGGACCTGCACACGAACAGCCCACGCTACAGCAAGGGCTCCTACAATGACTTCAGCTTCGTGACACACACCAACAAGGAGGGCATCCCTATGCGTAAGGGCGAGCACCTGGGTGAGTTCAACCTGGGCTCCACCATCGTGCTCATCTTTGAGGCCCCCAAGGACTTCAACTTTAAGCTGAAAGCGGGACAGAAGATCCGGTTCGGAGAGGCTCTGGGCTCCCTCTAGAGCCTTCTTCCTGATGTCGGCTGCTAAAGGAGCTTTCTCAACAGAAACGGGAAGGTCTTTTTGGGGAGCCTCCACGGCTGTATAGGGAGGGGACAGTCTCAGGGCTATGGAGCCCGACCAGGCGGGACCTGGGTGACTAGTTCCTACCGTCCTGAGGTGTGGGTGAGGTCAGAGCCCTTGCTGGCCCTGGACCTATATTGTCCCTCTTCCCATCTAAAGAGAACATGCAGGTCAAGATGATCTCAGATTCCCTTTTGGAGACTCTTTTTAACCTATTGTATAAACTGGAGACCCTACGTCTCCTGGCTGGGTGTTCAGTTGGTCTTGATTTCTGTTGTAAGACAGAAGTGGTTGTATCTGTTCTTGCTGCTCTCATAATTGCTTTTCAGCCTCCCCCCTGCCTCCCCTGCACTGACCAGGCTGTGCTGCCCCCAGAGCAGCGCCATGTGGCCTTTAACACAACCGCTTTCTGTTCCCAATTCACCCCCCACTTGTTTGGGAAGAGCTTTCTCCTTGCATTTGTGGCTGTGAACACATCATCTTTGACTCCGCCAGCATCTTCTGAGGGGGACTGAGGGGGTGGCGCTCTACACGCCCCAGTGAGTGACCTTCCAGAGCTGGCGAGACATGTTCTAGTAGGCAAGACCAGTTATTGAACCCCCACCCCCCGAATGGGTCCAGAGTGAATGGACAGGCAGGTAGTGGTGGCCTGGTGTGAGGGGGGACGCCCCCCCCCCAAATATCCAGACCCACAGAAACATGGTAAGTTGCTGCTATTGATTCAGGAGCTTGTGTTGGCAGCAGAAGAGCCGTGGTGTATGGGGGGGGGGTGTCAGTGCCTACAACACCTGTCCCCAGATAACAGGTACACAGTCCTTAGGGAGCCACTGACGGGGGGGCCGGGGTTCAGGTTTCCCGGGGACGCTGTGAATTTCTCCTGCAGGAGAAGCCATTTGAACTCTTTCAACTGTATCAGTAGCACAGTATTTTTGTATGAAAAGTGGGAGACTTCTGAACAGTAATTCATTTAATTGCAACCTTTTGAAATAAAAAATAAAACTCATTGCAGCTTTGCGTTCTGTTCCTGGAGGTGGGTTGAGGCCTCCCTGGGGCAATGACTAGCACAGAGCCTGCCGCAGGGCCTGGACCCGGGCAATGCAGGCACGGATGGGTTGGCGTTGGGCCTGGAGCTCAGAGGCCAGCTGCTGGATCTGCCGCTCCACCTGGGGAGAGGGGGCGGGGAGGCTGTGTGGGGGACCAGGGGAGGGGAGGGGGGAAGCTGTGCCAGGGCTGCCTGGGGCCTCACCTCCTGTAGTTCTTCTTGCACCTGCTGCTCTGCTTCCTGGTCCTCAGGCCTGGGCTCCTCCTGGCTCAGCTCCAGCCACCGGCGCAGGCTTTTTGCTTGTCGCTGGCAGGACCTGCCAGAGGGAGACACATGCTGCCAGCCTGTCCAGGCCCTTGGCTTTGTTTGCCTCCAGGCAGGGAAGCAGCCTATCTGCTACTTCTGGGGGTGGGAGGCTCGAGGAGGGTGGAGCTGTTCCCTCGCCAGCCTCCCCCACCCTCCCCCACCCAGCTGTGCAAGGACCTTGGGTAGGTCAGATCTGGGGAAACAGCCAGATCTGGGGAAACAGCTAGGGGGAGTTCTGGGTCTTACGAGAGGTTCTGCTTCATGGTCTGGTAATCCTGCAGTTGCTTCTGGATGCTCTCAAGCTCAGCCTCCAGGTCCATGTGGCTCTTGGTGACAGAACAAGCTGGATCTTGACCACCCTTGGGGCTAGGCCAAGGCTGAGTGGAGGGATCCCAGGTACTGGGAGTGGCCTGAGCACTTACAGTGCTATCAGGCTTCAGGTGCACCCACGTGGCTGTGGAGCCAGCCCCAGGCCCCGTGCCTGTGAAGTCCCCAGGAAGCAGGAGGCGGGAGTGAGGGACACTGGCTGGGGATGGCGAGGCCTGGCGTGTCAGCCCAGGGGTGGTGGGTTGTGCAGACACCTGTAAAGGGAGAACAGATGAACACAGAAGCGGGGAGGAAGGCTGGGGGAGTAGCACCAGGTCGCCCACTGCAGGGGTATGGGGGGGCGGTGAGGTCTTGGACTTGACCAGCTCACCCAGGCCGGGCCTGGCCCTGCCCCTTTCTTCAGACCTGACGTGAGGAAGTTGCACAAGCAGTGCAAGGAACACCCTACACCTGTGCAGTCCAGCCCCACCCCTACCCTAGGGCCTGGTTCAGCCCATCCTGAGCAGCTGTTTGACCCCTACCCCATTCTGAGCTGTGCCCCTGCACTTCAGTGAGGAAAAGTGGTCCAGGGCACTTGTCCTGGTCAGACCACACATCCCCAACCCTCCCTTCCTCTACTGGTGACCTTCGACCAGCTCTCTGGGCACCAACTCTTGGGGGGCCCCAACTCTGCCGCTGTCTCCTCTATTACTGAGCACTTGTGCCTTCTTGCACCCCCTTGCTGTCCCTGCCCAGACTCCTCCATCTGGCTGTCATATGCCCCAGGGAGCCGCCGCCTTCTCCAAGGCGACCTCTTTGGTTCCCAGGGGTTTACCTTCAACAACTACATTGCAGACTCTGTTTTCCTCCCCAGCTCTGACCACCTTCCCAAGGGCCACACTCAGAATCTTGTTGCTTTATCTCAAATTTAACAGGTTCATGACAGACTGTTCAGGCTTGATCCCAAGCAGGCCCCTCCTCCCACCCACCCCCCATTTTCCCTCTTTCAGTAAGGAACTCCTTATTCCTGAAGTTATTCAAGCCAGAAGTCCAAAAGCCATCCTGGATTCCTTCCTCACCCTTCTCAAACCCATCGGAGCAGGTCCTGCCCAGCCTGCCTCCCACGATGGGCTCTGCCCACAGCCACAGTCACCACCTAATCCTGGCACCTGGCACCCTGTGCTGGCCCATGGGATCACAGCTGCCAGCCGGCCCCCATGGCTTTCTACTGAAAATCCAGGTATTTCCCCTGGGCCTGCAGGACCCTTGTGATCTGCAGTGTCTTCATCCACGACCAGGGCTCTTCTTTGGTCCCCACCTCTGCGACATGAGCTTCACAAGCAGGGGCCCAGCAGCCTTTCCCTACTGTGTCCCTAGGGCAGGGGCACCTCTACTTGGTGAAGGCATGAGTGGCCTCCCTCCATCTCCCTGAGCCGGTAGTGCTCTGGAAGCAGTGAGTACAGCTGTGGCTACAGCACGGAGAGCGTGAGAAGAGCACTGAAGGCCAGACCAAAGAACAAGACCCCAGGTGACAGGAGGACTTACCCTGGCAGGGACTTCCACCACACATGGCATAAAGGATGAAGGGGGCAGCAGCTCTGGGCCTGTACTCAACGCAGGGGGCAGCTCTGGGCCAGGGTGACTCAGCAGGGCCTTGGGCTGGGGCAGGGGGCTGCTTGGGACCAGGGCTGTCCAGGCTGCTGGCAGGAAAGGCCTCATCAGGGCAGGGCCTGCTGGCTGGGCCATGCCTGAGTCACATTCCTGTGGTGCCTTGGGCCTAAGCAGAGCGACGACAGGAGCTGGTCAGGCCCTGGTACCTGCCTGAGAAGCAGGAAGGAAAGGAAGCCACCCCCTAGGACCACACCATATACCCTTTCCCCCCGGGGGTGCCACACCCCAGGGGCCTCTGGCTCGGCACCGGCTCCAGCAGGAAATGTGGGCGTCGAGGCTGCTTTCTTGCCAAGCGGGCATCATTGCTGGGAAGAAAAACAGGCCTATTCCTTTCGCCTACCCAGGGCATCCAGTCCCACCCCTCCAATCTTACAGGGAAACAGAAACTGCTGGCCTAAGGTCTGCAGGTGATGGGGAGTGGGCCTGGGCCACAGAGTACTTTCAGTAATTCCAATGTAGTGAGCCTGATGTCGTGGGGAGGCCTCACCCGCCTCATTTCATTTGACCTCTGCAGCTACCCAGTGACACAGGTGCCCCTCCCACATCAGAGGGGGAGCACACTCTTCAGGGTGAGGCCCTGTTGGGATCTGGTGCCAAGGGAAGCAGACTGAGGCTCAGGCAGTGCCGGTCACTCTAAACAGTGGGGTTTCCTGGTCGGAAGGGGAGAAGGAGGGTGACTGGCAGGTCTGGGGGTGTGAGGCGGAGCTGCCCGACAGCCGATTCCTTTTTTAAAAACTACATGTTCTCTCCCCCACGTTCTGCAGGAACAGAGGCTGAGGTCCCTTTATTTGGGGCTGATGGAATGGGAGGGACAGGATCCTGCTAGGGGTCCCCCACGGTTCAGCTGGGACCTCCCTCCTTGTATAGTGGAAATTTCTGCTCCAGGCAAAAAGCAAGGAGGAAGAGGCGAGAGATGGGCTACTCACAGCTCTAGGAGGTGGGGGTCCCAAGCAGCCAGGGACAGGCTGCTCCGCGCCCCCCCAGGGCTCATGAGGAGCTGGTGGCTTCTTGGTCTCCGGAGCAGCATCCCCAGCCCCAGCCGCAACATAGGTGGAAAGGGGACTGTCAAATGTCACTCTCCTGCTGGGCATGGTGGATGTGGGGGGACGAGTCTCCCTGTCCTGGCCCAGAACCTTCTGTTTCCAGAGCATGGCACAGCGATGGACCGCACGGTGGAGACTGTGAGCCGCCTGCAACAAGCCTCTGGTCAAGTCGTGCCGTGTCTGACCCGCTCCCCATGAGAAAGCGGGGGACCCTCACCTGCACCTGCTGCTGGGCATGCAGCTGCTGCCGGAGGGCCTTCATGCAGCCCGCGAACCGTAAAAGGCGTGTGGCGCCCTCCCGGAGGAGCTGCTGGCGGTAGGCCTGTATGGCCTGCTCCTGACGCGCCTTCTTTCTTCTCCTCTCCAGCACAAAGCCCAGCCACGAGGCCCACACCTCCAGAGAGAGAAGGAAAGGAGGCCCAGTTCTCCCTGCTTAAGGCTCCCCCCAGGGCTGTGCCCATGACCCACCCTCGCCTCCACCAAGGCGTACAGGGACAGCTGGGTATGGGGCCCCTATTACCTTTGCCTGTAGTGAGAAGGACCAGAACCCCAGGGCCCAGGCTGTGCCCTGCTGCTCCCGCCTCCTGTTCGCCAGCTATGGGCCAGAAAAAGAAGATTATGGAAGTCAGGGAGGCCACTCTGACCACAGGGACCTGGTCACTCTGAGACCCTTTTCTAGTAAGGCTGCCCTCCCTCCACTGGGAAAGGCCCAGCGCTGCCTGGCCCAGAGTTGGTGGACCAAGGAGTGATCCTCTGGGAAGAACAAAGGCAGAGCTCTGGGGGAAGGGAGCAAGTGGGGGCAGAGTGCTGGGCACATGAAGGTCTGCTGGGCATGATGCAACCCTGCCTGGTGTTTTAGCATGTCCTTGGTGAAGACTTAAAATGCATTCATATTAATTTTTGGATATTACCCTAATGTGACACTGTAGAAACAGGGCCCTGAAGTGATGGGCTTGTATAGGTCACAGATGGAAGGAACTGGGCAGTGCCGGGAAATGACCAGGGTTGGGGGAGCCCTCAGACAAGGGTGGAATTTTAAAATTTTAAATGTGGGGGTGCCATGGAGTATGTGACTCTTGATCTTGGGGTCGTGAGTTTGAGCCCCATGTTGGGTATAGAGATTAAATAAAAATAATAAATGTGGGTTCAGGAGGCAGTGGGAGGGGGAAGGGGCTTCTCGTTGGCTCCCACCTGTTGTTTCCACTGGTGGAAGCAGGCCCGGCTGCGGGTCTGGGCCAGGAGCTGGGCACCCTGCCTTTGCAGGAGCTGGGGAGAGAGCAGCTAAAAGCAGTCAGGGCCCTGCATCCCAATCATCTGGGCGCAGCCTTGTGGTGAGAGGCTCTCGGCCCAAGAGAACTGTCCTCCCATCTCCAAGAAGAGTCTTGGATGAAGCCAAGGCTTCCTGTACCGGGGGAGCATGGAGCTCTGACACCCCACGCCTCAGGATGAGCCAGGTTTCCCTCCTGGGGCATCTGGTGCCTGGGGGAGACCCGACCCAGAGGCTGGCTTCCCTCAGCCTTCCCAGAAAGGTCCCTGCAGCCTTGTGCCTGCAGGACCCCAACCACCCAGCACCCATCCTGGCGGTCGTGGGTTCTGCCACAGAGCCCGCCTCTCCCCCAGGCGGTGGTCTCCTGGCCTGGGAGCCGCCGCCTGCCTCACCCGCTTCCTGATGCAGCCCAGATGGTGCGCCTTCCACTGGGCCAGAGCTCGCAGCAGCAGCCGCCGGCCGTGGTGTGCAGCCGCCCTCCTGAGCAGGGCTCTCTGCTGGGCCACCCTCTGGCCTCGGTCCCGCCAGCGCCGAAACCACATCCTGAGACAACCTAAGGCAGATCCAAGTCAGAGTTTACTCTTTTGGAGGTTTCTACAAGCCAATCTGCAAGGTTCAGAGAGCTGAAAAGGTTGTGTCGGGGTAGAGCTGGGGTGTCAGCCCCCACTTGGTGAAACCGCCACATGGGGACGGTGGCCACGAGCACCCTGGGGACCAGGACCTGGTGTGCCGTTTACTATTGTGCCCCCAAAGGGTCAGCCAGAACCACCGCCTGTCCACGGTGGCCACGTGTCTGCAGTACCCCCATGGAGTGGCCCACGGAAGGCCACTGGACACGTGGAGGACAAGACCCTGTGTCTGAAGGAATGGGGGGCCATGGCCCTGTTTGGCCTGGGAGGAAACCCAGGCTCAGGGAGTCTAAGCTGCTCCAACCAGGCCTGGGAGGAGGCACAGCGTCCGCTGTTCTGGGTGCTGCAGGCAGGCGGAGGCTACCGCATGCGTTTTGTTTCTGTGTCACCAGATTCTCTCTCAAGGGGGAGCAAGCACTTCCGTGTTTTGTTTTGTTTTTATTTCCTTTTAGGTCTTTCCCTTTTCTTAAGCCCTGAGACAAGTTTCTTTTATAGACAACAGATACTAAGGCACTGATGCCAAGATGGGGGTGTCCTCTGGGAACTGTTGTAGGGGGCAGGGAGGGCAGGTTTGCAGGCCTGGAGGCAAAGCCTTAGGACCAAGTGCTGATACCTCCTGCATACTACTTCCAGGGTGTACTTCTCACTGGGTCCTTACAACAACCCCACGAGGCAGCTACTATTATTCCATTTTGCAGATGGGGAAACTGAGGCTCAGAGAGGCCTTCATGGGGCCACACAGCCAGCACCTGACCCTGCCCGTATCAGACACTCTGTTGACTGTGTCTTATGACACGTTACCCTGAACTCATCCTCCTCCAGCACTCAGCCCCGCCCTCGGGCTGCCAAGGTGTACCTGAGACTGAGGCCTTAACTAAGCCCAGAAATGGTTCCACAGCACTGAGTGCGCATCTGCTATGTGCCGAGAACACAGTGTCTTGTCTTCTGGGTCTCCCAAATCCTTGTAGCACCTGTAAAGGACACAGCAATCCCAGGGCCCACTGTGTGCCACCCAACACTTTCCACAGAAAGCTGCTTGCCCCTCAGTCCTGCAGTCCAGGGTGTAGCCTGTGCCTGTCCTCTCTAACACCTGCTGTGGCCACCTGACCCCCACTGGCAAGGACTCTGCAGCGCTGATGCCAAAGCTCTGCCCAAACAGAGGCCCCAGAATGGGCCAAACCCCTCAGCTTCTTTCTTGGGAGACACCTGGAACACAGCACTGGTTTCTGGGGTGGGGCGGGGGCAGCTTGAGGACACAGAGAAGCACACTGGGGTGGAGTACGTGCGGGATGTTTGACCCCCAGGGTTCTGTCCAGAGGAAAGCAGAGATGTGTGTTTATCCACATAAAGAGTGCAGTCAGAACCAAACCAGTTTATCAGTTTTTGTCCTGGAGCAAACCAACAACTTGACCTGTCTTCCCTACATTCCAATTTAAACAATTTATGTGTGTTTTCATTTCCAGTTGTATTGTCATTTATTCTAACCACTGCTCATGTCCCTACTGCAGGGCCATGGGCCTCAGTTTCCCTGCATCTTATCTGTGCTCCTGTCTGACCATCTACCCCAGGCTCTCTGTACAGCAGGGACTCAGGCTGCCCAAGGCCATACTCCCTGAACACACAAGGGCCCAGCAACACAAGGACGCGGACTCACTCCCCTTGATTCCTTCATGAGAATCAGATACTAAGCCTCGGTCTTACACCTGAACATCAACTGGTTGGCAACTGGCTGGGAAGAGAACGCTGTGATGCGCTGGGTTGAATGGTTACCCCTCCTCCCAAACCCAGAACCTCATCCTGAACCTCCGAACTGCTGTGACTCGGCAAGATGGCCAGTGCAGTCAGCCGACACCACCCTGGAGCAGGGCGGGCGGGCCCTTAACCCAGGAAGACTGGCTTCCTTCTGAGAGACGCGGTCGCAGGGCAGATAGCCCTGTGCCCGCAGAGGCCGAGGCTAGAGGGATGGGTCTGCGAGCCAATAAACACCAAGGACTGCTGGGGCTGTCAGAGGCTGGAAGAGGCAAGGAAGGATTCTCCCCTCCAGCCTTCACAGGAATCATGGCCCCGCCAACACCCCAGTTTCAGACATGGCCTCCAGAAGGCCAAGAGAACAATCTTCTGTTGGTGGAAACCTCCCAGTCCGCGGTACTGTTATCTCAGCAACAGGAAACTCACACAGGGTAGAAGAATCCAAAGACAGGGGGAGGAGATGGAACACGAGACAGTTCTATGTCCTTCAGAGCACTCTCCCCAGCTGCCAGGAACTCCACTCACCCCTATCCAGCACCTTCTGGGCCTCCTTAATGGCACAGTCCTCCTGCTGTCGGTAGTATATCTGCACGGATGCAGCCTCCCGCCACTGCACCAGGACCTAAGGGACAGATGAAGAGCAGAGCCTGACTTCCCGGGACGCCCAGCGCTGCGGGACTGAGTGGGGACATGGCACCCACACATGTTCCGGAAAACACCGGCCAGCAGCACAGACCCAGGCCACGGACCAAAGCCCCAGTCCCCACAGGAAGCAAAGTATCGCAGGCGATGGACTGTTCTATAGGAGTTCAACTTCCAAGCACGCCATCAACAAGTCAAGGCATCCCATGGGCATCTGTTCCATTATTAGGTGTTGAACGAAGCTGTACATTAGATGCGTTGCAGCCTTTCAAACTGAGACACACATAGCAGAGCACTTTACAAAGAAGTCAAGCAGCCGGGGTTGCCTGCTCCCCAGCTCCTTAGGCACAAATTCCATTCTCTGTAAAAAAAGGCCTCCCTTCCCAGCCGGAAGCCAAGCAAGTCTGACAGCAGACTGGGCCTTGACTTTGTCACAGTTCTTCACCCTCTGGAGGCTTCCGAGTTGTCAGGACCAGTCTCCCCCGGCCTTCCAGTGGGAGAACCACTGCTGTTCAGAGCTCCTGGCAAAAATCCTTCTCTCTAAAACAGCCCCCAGTGCCGGGACCACTGCTGTCCCTTCATTTCTGAACTACCCTGTTGTGTAATACGCCTTCCTCCCAGGGTCGCGAGCTGGCACACCCTCCCTCTTGCAGCACATAGGACAGGCCCCACCAGGTGGCATTTTGGGGCCACTTCCCACGGACGATGACCAACAATCTCACATTCCCGGGGTGTTCTACACTTTCGAGAAAGCCTCTGCAGCCATAAAATCAGCCACAATGAACATCCTCCGACAGATGAAGAGAAGGAGGGCCACATTGACAGAGTTTGTCCCAGTGGAAAATTCCACATGTGTAGGAAGTACTGGTTCTGAGAAGAACCAGTCTGCTCACTGTGTTTTTGTTTTAACGGATATTGGTTCATAATCCAGTTAAAAAAAAAAAAAAAAAGAAAAAGAAATGAAACCTGCATGGAGGAGGGTGAGTGAGCCCATGTCCTGGGTTCCTTGTTCAGAGCCTAGCTTCGGGGTGACGCCCTCGCAGGAGCAAGGTCCCAAACCCTCCTGGGCGACCAGCTGGTCTCCTGAGGCCTCACCTTGGAACACAAGGTTCGCCGGTAGTGAGTGCGTGCTCGGGAGCTTTGCTGGGCTTCATGCACACGGGCCAGGGTGTTCTCTCTCCAGCGATGGAACACACTCCTGCAGGAACACAGGCCCGGGAGATGAGGGGGTCACCAGTGCGAATGAGATGGGGGAGGTTCCTGTGAGTCATTCCCGCTTCTTCAGCCCACTCAATTGAGGACAGACTTCTTGTACCTAAGAATATCAGTCTCACCAACAGCCATATTTATGGTGACACACTCGACACAGGGCTGGTGAGCCCCTGCTCTGTGCCAGGCACTGGGGGAGCCCCAGGGGCACCACGGTGAACAAGACCAAATACTACTTCCTCGTGCATGTACGTAACACACAGTGGTGACCAGGCAGTGACAGTACAGGTGAGTTATGCCACAGTAAGGCACAGAGAGACGGGAGGTGGCGGAGGGCCATCGGCCCCAGCCCCGCAATTGCTACAGAGTTCGCTCAGCAACTCCATCTTTCTCACTCCCTCTGCCTGAGGGGCTGGATGGGGACCTCCCTGAGGGAGGGTAGAAGTGGTAAGTCCACAAGGCCCACCTCCCACAGGTGGCCTGGAATACCATGTGCTGAACAAATACGGAGGGAGGAAAAAGAGTGGAATGAGGGAGGCCTGCCGGGAAGGAGAGCGTGAGAGGTTGGTTTAGCAGGAGCTGGAACAGAGAGAGCGAGTGACTTCCAAGCCTGTGAGAGATGCCTCTGGAATCCGTGGAAGGCCTGGAGAGCCAAGCAGGGAGGCAACTGAGTGGAGGCTGAGGCACAGGGGGTCCCTGCAGCTCTGGAGCGGGAGACGCAGAATCTTGCAGGGGAGGGAAGAGTGTCGACAGGAGCAAGACAAGGGGGAGCTCTTGCAGATGCCCAGGTTGACAGCTGCCTCCTCAAGGCCCCAGTCTGCACACAGCAGCTTCCAGACCCGGGGTGACCCAATGAATGGAGTGCTTGCTATGGCAAAGCCCAACAATGCTGTGAGCAGTGCAAGGAGCTGGGCTGCCCTCGCTCCACACCAGTCTGGACACCTGGCCCTGCCTGGGGCTGGAACGGGAGCCCTGATCCTCAGACCCTGTGGGAGACGCCGGGGAGACTCACCGCAGTAGCCGCCCCTTGTGCTGCCTCTCCCTGGTCGCCACCTCCTGGAGGATGCTCCGAACCTGGCTCTGATAAGTCTGTGGGAGACCGAGAGGACTGGCGGGTGCAGAGCCCAGTTCCCTCCTTTGTCCCTCCCTCAACCGGAGCCCTCCTTCCAGGGGGTGCGATGCTGGAGGTGGGCACTGGCCTAGAGCTCCAAGTCCCACACCAGTAGAGCGCCAGGACAACAGAGAGGATGGTCTTGCTAAGTCCTCACCGAGCAAGTCAGGCCACTGGCCTCCTGGACAAGGGGTCACTTTGATGTGGAGGCTGGCCCCCCAGAGGGCATTCGTTTTTACTTTGCCAAGCAAGGATGCCAGAGCTCAGCCCCGTGGCTGAGAGACCCACCGTCCTGGGCATGCGGAGGCTTGCGGGACTCCTCCGGGAGGGGCAGGGAGACCGAGGGAGGGACACAAGATTCCCCGCCCCCCATCCCGCCCGAAGCAAGGGGTGACCCAGAGACCAGCAGAAGCCCCTACCACCCAGGAGCGCAGCGCCCCCCGCAGCGAGGTGCACCGGTGGTGCAGGCGGGCGCGTGTCAGCTTCCCCCGCTCGGCAGTGCGCAGAGCCAGGCCCTGCGGACAGAGGGGGGGCCGGGAGGGGCTCAGCCATGCCGCCATCTTCACCCATGGTGTTCTCACCTGCCCCACCCACCCCGCCAAGGCCTCATCTACGACTAGGTATCTCTCAGGGGCTTTGTGGGGATCGGATGGGGCAAGAGCCTGACTCAGGGTAAACGCTCAAGCCATGTGGCAGTTGACACACTTTTTACCCTGAGCAGGATGCCTGCAAATGGTGAGACCAAGAATTTTAGGTTCAGTGAGTTCAGACCGGAACCAAAGAACATGGGAGTTTGAGCCAATCACCTCAGGAAACCAGGTTAGTGCTTGCCCCTCTGCTGCCCAGCCTGTCTCCTGTGCTCAGAGTCAGGTGGCTGCTGAGGGGCGGAAGACAAGCCCACATGCCCGTTCCGAGTCACGCTGACACCCAGCTCCACCTGTCCACAACCATACGTGGTGGCATCTGTGCCAAAGCCTCACCTCCTTCCACCTGTTCCAGGCCCAGTGCAGAAGCCGTGCGGAGTGGAACTCTGCAGCCAGCACTAGGCCCGTCTTCCTGTGGGGAGGGCTGGAGTCAGCACTGAAGCCTGGACCCGGCCAGGGCTCTTTCCACCCACACCCCTCACAGTCCTGGGCCCCTGCCTAGTGGTTCTTAAATTAGTGGAGAGGGAGGAATCAAGACCTTCTCTGGAGGCGCCTGGATGGCTCATTCAGTTAAGTGTCTGCCTTTGGCTAAAGGTCATGATCGCAGGGTCCTGGGATCAAGCCCTGGGTTGGGCTCCCTACTCAGCAAGGAGACTGATTCTCCCGTTCTCTTTGCCCCTGCTTGTGTGCACGCTCTCTCATTCATGCTCTCAAATAAATAAATAAATAAATAAATAAAATCTTAAAAAAAAAAAGACCTCTGAAGAGCTGCCAAAGGATTTGGGCTCTCCCCTCAGGAAAGTGAGCATCTACTCAAATTCTCGGAGCCAACCTGACAGGGTTCAAGTACACTGAAGTACACTCATGTGCTGGCGACTCAGGAGATTAAATGTGGCCAGAATCTGAGACTGGGGAGATCCTCACAGCACAAAGCGGATACAGAACAGCATTAAAGCGGGACAGTGTCTGCCATGTCCATGTGGGCTGTCTGCCCCTCCCTGTCTCCAACCATATAGTGTGGTAAAAACTGCCACCACCTGCCCCTAGGCCACAGCTGCTGGTCCTGGTGCTCAGCTATCCTGAAACGGGCTCATCAGTCTATTTTCTGGATGTGGTCACACTGGGCCCCACCCAGTGAGTGGGATGCATCCAGTGGTAGGACCTCAGATCCATGGAGCATGTCTGTCCCTAGTCGAGTTCCTGAGGCTGGGATCTCCATGAGGTACCCCAGGATCCTCCCACTACAGCCCTGGTTCTGTATAGACTGAATTAGGCAAAATTTCTGGAACTTAAAACCAGGGTCTAGGCTAACACAACCCTCCAACAGGCACTCAGAGCTGAGAGTCTACCACTATGGTCGAAGCTGGCCTGAGAGGGGAAGAGCTTCAGGGGCAGAAGCGGCCCCTCACTCTGTTCTGAGCCCTCGGGCACTGTCTCTCCAGATGCAGAAAGCCCTCCTGAGCTGGCGGTGGCGGTGGTGGGCCCAGGCCGCTGCTGTCCGCTGCCGCTCCCGGTGCTGTGCTGCTGCCCGCTGGTGCCACGTGGACCAGGACCTCTGCAGGACCTGCCGCTCTGAGTGAAGGATGGCCTGGGGCAGGATGGCAGGGAAAGAACAGAGTCGGTCCAGCCGCTGGGGGCACAGAAGCCAGGAAGAGTCTATAGGCCACAATTACTGACCAAGCCAAAAGAGATGGGCATTAACGAGCTGCCCTGGCCCAGAAGTCATATGTAAACTCCACTGACAAGGGCAACAGATGCCCCAGGCCCTGCCCTGCCTTGTGAGTCCTGGTCACAGGCAGGACGCCCCGCAATGTGGGTCTGGGTGACGTCCCAAGCAGAGGAGACAGTGAGCGCAAAGTCCGAAGCAAGTCCTACCCGTTCCAGGCACCTCCTCAGGGACGGCCACTTACCATCCTCTCCGCCAAGCGGTTTTCTCGATGCTGAAACATCTTCTGCCACCAAATAGCAAATACTTGCTTCTCCAACGTCTCCCTAAAAAGATAAATAATAACAATAATGGGAAACAAAACACTGAAGATAAAATCACTATGAAAAAGAATGAGAAGTTCCAAATAATTGGGTTTTTTTTCTTAGGCTATTAAGAGGTGAATAAGTTGAGACGGGAAAGGAAGGAAAGAGAAAGAGAAGGAAAGCGGACAGCAGTGGCCAAAAAGCCCCATGAACGACCCAGTACTCTCCAAGTTGTTTCCGGTGTCAGCCAAGCATCTGCACAGTATGAATAAGACTGACTTCGAGATGATGGCTCTTCATTAGTTCAGTTCCACACTGAAATACCAACAGTGCTCAATGGTCAGTAGTGAAATCCTTTCCAGTCCGGGCTGACCGGCCTGGTTGCTGTTACACAAATCCTTAGGGGAAGTGGTTAAAAACAGAGGCCAGGTCTCCAGGGCTGACCAAGCAAGTCTGAAGTGGGCCCCAGGAAAGAATATTTAAAAGAAGCGTTCCATGTGAGGTAGACAGGGAGACAGATTTGAGAACCACTGCTCTGTCACCTCTGCCTCGGCCTCCCCACTCAGCGCAATGATGCGAAGGCCCACAAACGCAGCACTGGGACAACTGGTCAACAGCCACTAGGAGCCGTGCGTTGGCAAAAGCATGGGACAAAATACACGAGGCAACTGTTTTCAGGCCCTGGACAAGAGGCAAAATAGACTGTGATCCTTAGAGTTGAGAAGCAAGTAAGGTGAGCCCCGTGGCCACCCAGGCTTTCTGCCTTGAGGGCACGTTCTGAACACTGGGGGCAGGGCCACCGAGTCCAAGCAGAACAGGACAGTCTCACTCAGCTGGGGCAGAGAATAGAGTTCAAGACTGCAGGGGAAGGACTGTATGCATCTGTGGCTTTCTAGAACCTGTAGAGACATCAGAGGCACGCTCACACACACCCTGCACACTCTGCAAGTGTGTACCTCACTTTCTCTGTGAGTCTGCCCAGTCCATAAGTAAGGCTATACAAGCAGGCTCTGAGAGACCTAGCAGAGTGGCCTCTTCAGGGCTGACTACTGGATGGAGATTACCAGAAGCTGGAAAGCGCTGAGAGATGGGAGTTCTAGCCTAGTCTGAATGAAGAGACTTTGCTGGGAACCCCAGAATTCAGAAAGGGTGGCCTCAGGAATAAGCGCCATGCCCTAACTCTGAAGACAAAAATCAAAAAAGACCCACACGTGGGGCACATGGTACAGCGTGCAACTCTGATATCAGGGTTGTAAGCTGAAGCACTGCACTTGGTGTAGAAATTACTTAAAAAATATCTTAAAACACACACACACACACACACACACACACACACACACACACACCCCACACAAAGAATGAACAGAACCACACTTGATAGGATCAACAGGAATCACGAGAATAAAGAGTAATCACTGTCTACCAGAATAAAAGACAAAACCCTTTAAAGGAAAAACAGCGGTCTATAAAAACAATGACCCAAATGTTGGAATCAGCAAACACTTAGAAAGAGTTATTAAAGTGTGTGTACTAAAATAAAGGATGAACAAAATTAGTTACCAGACAGGGAATCTTGGCAGAGAAATAGAACCAAAAGTAAAAAAGAACCAAATGATTTGGTGGCTTCTCAAAAAGTAAACACAGAATTATTTGATTCAGTAATTCTACTTCTAGGTATACAACCAAAAGAATGAAAAACAGAGACTTAGACAGATGTATGTACACCAGTGTTCACAGCAGCATTATTCACAATAGCTAAAAGGTAAAAACTTACGTGTCCATCAACATACAGATGAACAAACTGTGGTATATCCATACAATGGAATATTATTCATCCATAAAAAGGAATGAAATTCTGATACATGCCATGACATGGATAAACCTTGAAAACATTATGCCAAGTAAAATAAGCCAGACACAAAAGGTCTAATATTACACAATTCCACATATATGAGACATCTAGAATAGCCAAATTCAGAGACAGAAAGTAGTTTAGAGGTTCCCAGGGCTGGGAATAGATGGAAATGGAAAGTTAGTGTTTAATGGATACGAAATTTCTGTTAGGGATGATGAAAAAGTTCTGGAAATGCACTCCCCCTGCTTGTGTTCCCTCTCCCCCTCTCTTTTTAAAAAAAGATATTAATTATTTATTTGACATGGAGAGAGAGATCACAAGTAGTCAGAGAGGCAGGCAGAGAGAGAGGAGGAAGCAGGCTCCCCGCTGAGCAGGGAGCCCGATGCAGGACTCAATCCCAGGACCACGGGATCATGACCTAAGCCGAAGGCAGAGGCTTAACCCACTGAGCCACCCAGGTGCTCCTAAGTAAATAAAATCTTTAAAATAAAACAAAAACCCAAAGATAAATAAAAACATCTTAAAAGCAAAGGAAGAGAGACAGATTACATTTAGGGGAAGAATGATACAAACGATGGGTGCCTTTATACCAGAAATAATGGAGGCCAGAAGACAAGGGAAGAATGTCTTTAAAAGACTTGGAAGGGCTTCTGGGTGGCTCAGATGGTTAAGGGTCTGCCTTTGGTTCAGAGTCCTGGGATCAAGCCCCATATCAGGATCCCTGTTCAGTGGGGAGTCTGCTTCTCCCTCTCCTTCTGCCCACTCCTATGCTCATTCACTTTCTCTCTCCTGAATGAATCTTTAAAAAAATAAATAAATAAATAAAAATAAAGAAAGATAGATAGATAGATTGACTGACTGACTGATTCAGGAGTGAGGGGTAGAGAAACTCATTGTTTTATATCCAGGAAAAGGTCCTTTAAAAATGAGACCAAGAGTGAAATAACCATGAACAAAAGCTGAGATAATTTCTCTCCAGCTGACTTATAGTATAAAAATTCGAAAAGACAGGGCACCTGGGTGGCTCAGTGGGTTAAACCTCTGCCTTCGGCTCAGGTCATGGTCTCATGGGTGGGATCCAGCCCCACATCAGGCTCTCTGCTCAGCAGGGAGCCTGCTTCCTCTCTCTCTGTCTGCCTCTGCCTACTTGTGATCTCTCTGTCAAATAAATAAATAAAATCTTTTAAAAAGATGCTAAAGGACAAAAGCATATAGATGAAAACTTACATCTATAGGAAGAAACAATTTTCCATATTAGATATGGAAAATATGTGGGTAAATATAAAAGATTGGGTTTTTTTTAATCTCTTAATTTTTAAAAAAGAATTCTGTCTAAAGCAAAAATTACGTGGGCAAAATATATCATGACCTAAGAAATGACAAGAAATACTATCAATGATGGAGAAGAGGGGCACCTGGTTGCCTCAGTGGGTTAAAGCCTCTGCCTTCGGCTCAGGTCATAATCTCAGGGTTTTGGGATTGAGCCCCGCATTGGGCTCTCTGCTCAGCAGGGAGCCTTGCTTCTCTCTCTGCCTGCCTCTCTGTCTGCTTATGATCTCTGTCAAATAAATAAATAAAATCTTAAAAAAAAATGATGGGGAGGAAAGGAATTCTACTGTTTTTATGTTCTTATATTTAACATGAAGTGGTACAACAGAACTGAATAGAACTGTAGTAAGTCTAACAATGTGTATTGTTGATTTCTATACAAAAGAAGGGTGCCTGGGTGGCTCAGTCGGTTAAGTGTCTGCCTGCGGCTCATGTCATGATCCCAGAGTCCTGGGATCAAGCCCCACATCAAGCTCTGCTCAGTAGGGAGCCTGCTTCTCCCTCTCCCTCTGTCTACTGCTCTGCCTACTTGTGATCTCTCTCTGTGTCAAATAAATAAGTAAAATCTTTAAAAAAAAAATACAAAAGAGGGGCAACCTGGGTGATTCAGTCAGCTAAGCATCTGCCTTCAGTTGAGGTCAAGATCCCGGGGTCCTGGGATCAAGCCCTGCATTGGGCTTCCTTCTCAGTAGGGAGTCTGCTTCCTCCTCTCTCTGCCTGTTGCTCCCCCTGCTTGTGCTCTCTCTCTCTCTCCTTGCTCTATCAAATAAATAAAACGTTTAAAAATAAAATAAAATAATGATAAATACAAAATACAAAAGGTATAAAAAGCCAATGCAGGAAATAAAAATTAAAAGATTCTAAATGAACAGGCCAGAAAAGGGAAAACAGAGAAACAAAAAACAGATGTAGGCTTCGGCCCAACCACACCAATTACATTAAATGTAAATGAACCACACACTTTAATTAAAAAGCAGAGATTTCAGGAATGCCTAGGTGGTGCAGTCAGTTGAGCATCTGACTCAGCTTTGGCTTGGGTTGTGAGCTCAGTGTTATGGGATCAGGCCCCAAGCCGGGCTCCATGCTTGGTGTGGAGACTGCCTGGGAGGCTCTCCCTCTCCCTCTACCCATCCCAACCCCTTCATGCTCACTTGCTCACTCTCTCTCAAATAAATAAATTAAAAAAAAGAAAAAAGCAGAGATTGTCAGACTAGATAAAAAAAAAAGACATAGGAGGAAAGCTTTATTAAATATGAAGACAAATAGAGGGAAAGGTAAACCACATAAACTATAAATACAAAAAAAGCTGCTGAGGATATTTTAATAAAAGTCAAAGCAGGCTTTGAGAAACGAAATATTACCAAAAATAAGGAGGTTCATTTCAAAATGATAAAATGGGACAGTTCATGAGGAAAACATAACAATCTAAACTGTACATGGACCAATTAACAGAGATTCCAAACACATGAAGTAAAACTGGTAGTATTACCAGGAAAAACAGAAAATCCATAATCATAGCTATAGAATTTTAACACTTCTCTCTAGTAATCGATAGAAAAAATAGACAAACAACAAAACTAAGGTCGGGGGGTGGTTCGGTTGGTTGACTGTCTGCCTTCAGCTCAGGTCATGATCCTGGGGTCCTGGGATCAAGTCCCACATAGGGCTCCTTGCTCAGTTGGGAGCCTGCTTCTCCCTCTCCCACCCTGCTTTATGCTCACTCTTGCTATCTCTCTCTCTCAAATAAATAAATAAAATATTTAAAAAACAAACAAATACCTTGCCTGAGGAAAGCATCTGCATCCTGGAGACTGACTGGAAAGTCAGGGCTTTGACT